TAGCTCGTCAAGCTCTACAAACCCAAAAAGTTTCAGCCGATTTGGAGGTGGTCACCGAATCGACTGGCGATTTCCCATGGACATACCCTTACGGAATCGAAAACTTTAGTCAGTTTCAATTAGAATTACTTCACTTTCTCTCATTTCCCTCAGATAATTGAGAGTGATTCGTGGCAGTTCTGTAGCAATCAATCACAACCGATGCATTTTGTCGGAGAACATAGGGACCGAGTCAGGCTATAATGATGTCTTCGGTTCTTTCGCACTCATTGTAATAGTTATGTGACTTTCAGAGAACTGATACGTGTGGATTCACTAGCGATCTCGATCATTCATGTAATTTTCTCAGCTCTCCTGGAAATTACGAGTTGAGTTCCTAGGGAACTGTGGAAAACGAAGTAATTATCATTACAGATGGATCAGTGCTCCGTTTTGTAAATAGAAAGCGCTCAATGAAGTTTCGAAACAAGTGATGGGCACGGACTCTCTGTGATTATTTGAGCATCTGTTTTCAGTTCATTATTACCCATTTGTACTCTACCATATGATGGTTTTGATTCTGTTTGAATGGAACTGTTGACAGCCCAGTTTCGACACGAGGAACATGAATTAGTTGTGAAATAGCGTGCAACAGTTTTTTTTAGAAAGGAGCGTGCGTTCATTTCATACCATGCTCTGTTTCTGGCATTAGAAAATTACTGTGAAGACGAACTTCTCGAAAGGAAATATGGCTATGGACATCTTTCGTTGAGCTTTTGTATCGGTGTGGGAAACTGCGGAATCGCTATAGGAATATTCGGACATGATAGTTGATTCCTTATTACTTCAGGAAAATGCATGCTTTACCATAGTACCTTGAGACGCGGGCAGTGGCTCTGTGTGCTCAGTTCACTCATCCACCCATACGCAAATAGATAATGATATTGTTCGATGAAAAAGTGAGTGCCTCCAATTTTGTCGACTACAAATAATGTCGATTCGAAATTTGTCGAAAAAAAATTTGTCGATAAAATTTGTCGATTTGATCAAGTTTGTTTACGATATATTAAAATTAGACTATTACTCAATTGAATTTCAACTTGAAATCAACTTGAAGTCAACTTGAAATCAACTTGAAATTCTACTGTTCAAGTTGGAATCAGCTTGAAATTCTAGTGTTCAAGTTGAAATCAACTTGAAATTCTCTTGCACATGGCACAAGCGAAGATCCGATTTTCAATGATACAGGAAGACTACGCACAAAACATGTTGAAACAGCAAATAAACCAAGGGAGAAAGAGTCATTTCTTTTTGGCAACAACGAATGTTAGCCCAGCTGAGAGTTCATTCTCACTGATGACGCCTTCACCGAACAGATTGTTCAAAGTATCAATTCGGTTTTGCATTTTCACTGACACCTTTGAACGCCGCCGTTTTTGTGGCTGGCCACCAGCAGCTGCCAGAACTCGATGGTGTTGAGTAAATTCTTGTTGCGTCAAACAGGCAATTAGCCGCCAAATTGATGGATGATGTTGATTCACTTTTTTTGACAAAGCATGATGAAATGCTGCAGACAAATTTTGAGGTTGGGGCAAGATCCTATTGCTTAACTACTCACTTTCACATTCGTTATTTGTACGAATTCTCAAATCACCGACAGCATACATATGGACGCCAACTTTCGTAAGCCACTGATCTTGGTAGTACGTGAAAAATTCGATTAATTTTTCACGAATATTCTTTGGCTTGTACTTTGCAATACTGCGTAGCAAACGTTGGTAAAGACCTGCAATTCTATCTTTGGGCATCAAACAAAGCGAAAACAAGCGGCGAAGGACGTCGCGGGGGACCCCGTGTTCCTTGTAAGCAGCAGCCAAACCGCATTGTCCAACATACCATTACAATGCTTGCATATGATGGAATGCACATCCACGGTGTTCTGCCTGTGGGAACTTAAACGTGATAAAACGAAAAGAAAGTGCAGATACATTAATGGACAAGAGAACAATATGGTGAATAACCTACTTCCACTCGTATTGCAGATATGAGTCCATTTTCGAAGTCGCTCATGATCATTTTTCGATTAAACTGTAGATTCATTTTGACTGCTGTTGATTTGAGTTCGTGAAAAAGACTCTTGTATGCAAGTTGAACAGTAGAATTTCAAGTTGATTTCAAGTTGATTTCATGTTGACTTCAAGTTGATTTCAAGTTGAACAGTGGAATTTCAAGTTGACCTCAAGTTGATTTCAAGTTGAAATTCAATTGAGTAATAGTCTAATTTTAATATATCGTAAACAAACTTGATCAAATCGACAATTCTGAATAAAATTTGTCGATTCGACAAATTTGAAAAACAAATTTGTCGAATCGACAAATTTTATCGACAAATTTTTTTTCGACAAATTTCGAATCGACATTATTTGCAGTCGACAAAGTTGATGCTTCCCGAAAAAGTTGCATGAATTATTTATCAAGGTATTTGATTCCGTTTCGCTTTCAGGTTTCTTCTTGAAAAATATAACGAATATAAAATGTATAGTTTCGGCACTCATTCTTTTAGCATTAAAAAATTTGACAGTTTTCAGAGTCAGCAATATGATTCAGCAGAATTAGGCATTTTTCAATGACTTTTGCATAATATGTAATAATGATTCGGAAACGAGAGTAAGACCGAGAAATCGTGACTGCGACTAGTTTCTTTAGCGCTAATAGTCTGTTTCCCTAAAACTGGGAAGAGAAAAACTGATCAAAAAGAAACTGCCATTATTTTAGTCGACGTGACGATCCAAAGAAGCCTTTAACATTGCTCCATCTGATTCGGTTATTTCCGACTACACGATGCACGGGCAAAGAGATGAATCATCTGATTGAATTGCTTACAGCTTGTATATCGTATGATGAAAGTGGTGCTATTGATATGAGATCCTATTTAATTGAGCCTGAGTACTTTGATCCAGTCTGGCGTTTGTATTTTGATCCACTGATCATTAAATCGGTGAAGTGTTTCGACGATCGAGCTGAAGAAGAGGCGCCCGGTCAGACAGCTTATTCGGCTTCCAAGTCGATTAAAGTGACATGGTCAGATGGTCGAGAGGATTCATACGATGATGGAAATGTTGATGCTCGTGACCGAATCGACGATCTTGTTCATTGGGCCCTAGATGCTTGTACAAATCAAGAACAATTGATGAAATTGCTCGATTCCATTCATTTGAGTCTCAGTAATCCAAATCATGTTCTGTCAGCTTGGATTCGCTTGTACCGTCACTTGACAACACTCACTATTTTCAATGCTGGCATCAATCAAAAAATGTTCGAACATTTGTTCGACGTCGATATGAATTCACCACCGGAAATTCTTAAGTTAATCAATGATTTGTTTGAAATATGGCCTCGAATCCATGATCTGCCAATCAGTGAATCTATTTCGTCTAATATCTCCCTGTTGATCCAGAAGATTATTGCTTTTGGAACAAAAGAATCATGCACACTCATCGAACGATTCATCGAACAAATAAGTTCTCTAACACCAGCAAAAAATGTTCGTGGTCATCTTTGTTTCTATATTTTATTGCGCGACACATTAATACTTTCCACTACCGCCAACTTGACATCAGCTATTAAAAAAGTTGATCTACCTACCATTCTCTGGTATGCTGACTATGTTCTATCTAACAATGAACAAATCGATCAACATCTGTCGTGTCTATTGTCTATTCTCAAAGCTGTCAGTATCTTTACCGAACATGATCTTCTTCACCAGTGGACTCAACGAACAGCAGCACGACCTGAATTGAGACCTGGTTTTCAATTGATTGAAAGTTCCCTCTGTCCGACGAGTACGTTGTCCAATTATGTACTGAATTCATCAGCCGATAGCATTCAGCAACTTTTGATCTGCATCAAATCACCACTGGCCATTGAATATGCAAACATTTTTGTATTAATTCTCGAAAATCTTTCTGGTAGTAATCAAGCACAAAAGCATCTATTTCGGTCTGATGCCTACGTTGAGCTTCAGAAGTGGCTAGATACGTTAACTTCACCGAACTGCGATTCAATCCAATCGACAATCATCGCTCGCATTCTTCGTCTTCTACTCAGCATGGCGTATTCGACATATTTCAAAAATGCCGATGAAATCGCTAAATTCCTTCTCTGTGACTATTTGGCCAAGATGATGACTGTAAACTTCGAAAATAATAATCCTCTAGCACGCATTATTGTCTTTCTATCTTGGATCTCTACCGCCGATTCCTCTTTGGATGTCAAGAAGGTTTTAAATCTTTTATTTCAATCACTAAACGGAGAACGATCTGTTGTTGCACCCTGCACATTACATCTTCTTTGTCTTTCACAAGAGATTACCAAACCGTCGTCACATGACACATTAACAACGTTATTCTCCCAATTTTTACCTGAACTGCTGGGCATTTTGGCCCAGAGTGGACAATTAAAATCAGCAGCAAAGATTATTCTTGCCGAAGTTTTGAATTTATCACCGACTGAACGTGAAGCTCTTAATCTGAATGTTGCATCTAGTAATGACACCGATTCGAATCTCGAACAAGAACTGGATGATATCAAATCAAAAGAACATAAATTCTTCTCAATCGAAGCTAAAAATAAACAAGATTATGTTCAAGTACGAATTGGAGATTTTAATCAAGCTGAAAAACTTCTGAATACATTGCAATCATCTAAATTCGATCAAATGGATAGTCTTCTTCGAAACTATCTGCCACATACTCATCAAACGTCACTCAGTTCGACACCCTCCACATGCACCGACAAAACAGATCAAGGTCGTCTCACTTTGACACCAACAGCAAGAGAAAACGTATTGAAAGTGATGGAAGTCATCAATGATCCTACTCCAATCTTGCTCGAAGGAAGTACAGGCGTCGGTAAAAGTGCAAGTGTAATGGAAGCTCAGAAACAATATCGCGATATAAGATCAATGGGTGAAAAGCGTGCTGGTCTCGGGGGGGGGGGGGGGGGGGGGGAAGGACACAAGTTAGTGTCGTAAGATATGGGATCGCGTGTTTCATGTGAGATCCTTTTTGGACAGGCCCCCCACCTTGCTTGTAC